GATACACACGTGCAACAGAATAAACAAGGGTTAAAGGGTGGTGGTCGCTGCACAACGTGTGTTTGAATTTCGTGTTAACCAAAAATATATTATACACTTTGAATCCCACATGGAACAGGAAGCGACGCGACGAATACCACCCTTTAAAGACCAGGTTCAATGACATGAGTGAGCCTTTAACACTATTAAAATGCATATCTGTAAATGCATTAATTATACACTGGGTTTTAATTTCACTATTTAAGTCAAATCCATGTGAGCATGTATTACAATAGAATTCATTTTTGCAACATAAATTTTGGCAATTTCAAATGCAGTGAGTAGCATAACAACTCTTAATTTGTATACCCAATTAATTTTAATAAATAATAATCATTAAATGTACTTTTTTTAATTGACAGCTTTCAAAAAAAGATTTAAATTTGTATTCTTTTATCGTATTTAGCTACAACTTTTTATAAAAAACAAGACATGAAATGTCACAGTCCCCGTTATTTGATTATAAAGTTGTACAAAGAACATCTGCAAACAGGTGAATAAATATGTACTCTTTGTGGTTACAACTCATCATAAAGTGATTTCCGATGATCTAGTTTTGTACTGACAACTAAAAACTTCCACTGACCCATGTTCAGAATCTCAGAGTACACAAGTGCAACAAAACTATTTGTCATACATGTATACTTGCTCAAGAAACTGCATTCATAAATCTGAGTGAACCTTGATGTACATGACTTCTTTGTTAATCAGGTCTTAGTATATTACCAGGACCTGGGTTTGTTTGAACATCATCACTGGGCATCAGAATCATTCTCATGTTGTCAAATACAATTTGTTATTAACACAGTAAGGTTTATTATTTAAAATGTATTCATTGTACATAGAACAACATCTGTTAATTTAAACAACTGTAAAAGCTATGTTTTCAGAGCAAGTAAAGGTTGGTTTGCTCACAACCTTCAATGGAGAAGTAACAATAATTGTTTGAAGTCTTTTTAGTGCAGTGATATTATTGCATTTCAATTATTAATGGGTATAAAATACTATAAACCATTTAATTTTGACTTCTAGATATATTCAGGATTTTATGAAATTTGTGTACAACATTTCAATAAAGTCCCTGACACTCCATGTTGTAGGAACCCAGAAAAAATTCAGTTCACAGCACCACTGTAAAAAAAAAAAAAAAGTTTAAAATGAGTATAGTCAAAGATATACACATGTGGGTTCATAAGACATATGTACCAATCTGAGTTGGTTCTAGAGATTAGTATCACAAGATTTTACTCTCCGTGATTCAATATCAGTCCTATGTATAAAGCTGTGTTGATCAGGCGAACTAATTGACAATGGCCCTACAGGTATCGCTATGAAATCACAGTAGTTTTGTATTCTTCTTGCATTTCGACCATGAAAAAATATTTGTTTTTGAAAGTGGCAGAATTATTAGAAGAAAAACAGAAACTATTTTTTTAGTATGAATTCTAGTAACTGAAATGCAGGATTGAAAAAGAACAAGACAATACGCAGGATTGATAAACCTTCAGCGAGCACTCCTGAAATTTCAGATCATTGGTACCATGTTTTTGGATACATTCAATGACCTAATACGTAAAATCACATTTGTTATTGCTCAATCACTTGACCCTGTATGGCACAAGATTGCAAGCTTCTATCATAAAATTGGGTTATTTATTTGATGCAACGAAACATGCATTCACAGCAGACAGAAATTCGTTTGAGATATTACTGGATTTTTGTATTCAGTTTTCCATTTCAACCACCATCATCACTTTGTAAGCTGTGATCATGCATTGGGATACTGACTGTGCATAAATGTGCAGTGTAGTGTCATCAGAAGACCGATTGTTTGAGAATATTTTGCACCATTACGCCATTTCAAATATTATATTAATTCACAGACAACAAAATAAAGATTTTCAATAACATACAAGTTTTCCCACAAATGATGATTGTATGGCAATTACAAGGCTTCGCCAGTTTTACTTTGGAAGAAGTTGAAAACAGGTAACAGGAAGGGGCTACATGACAACATCTTTTTTTTGAATTTTAATCAAGCATAATTTTTTTTTTTTACAAATGTCTTTTTCAGGGCAACAGAAACAAAAACAATAAATGTGAAGGTAGGCATTTTAACAATTGCACAATTAATATTGGATGAAAACGTCATTACCGATATAAATCATAATCATAATTAAAAATAAGATCACATTTAATTTAGTCAGTTTTCATAATGAAATGCATAATAACATGTACTTATAAATTTGAATAAGGTTCAACAGCCTTTTCATTTAGTGCCAGTTTATACACCATAAAACCTCTGGTTTAGGTGTCACACTCAAAGAAGAGTGAAAGGCATTTGGTTCATTGGCATCGCGAAATCTTGGAATTGAATCCCCCCAAAAAATTCACATACTGTAACATGCATTATTTTTTTTATAATCTTGTTGATAACGAAAAGTAAAGTATGTTCAAAAAGAAGTTTCGAATAAATACAAACACAAATACATTGCTTAGTGGTTAGTATCGGTAGCAAATGATCACGGTAGCACAATCTGGTCATTCTGCGTTTCGCAAGTGAATAACTTACTTGTTTTCGAAGTATTGCAATTGTTGATTATTATTCAGTAATGATTATAATAACGCACAAAAATTTAATTCGTTGAATTTTTATAAATTTGAAGTAATATTCAACTTAGTTTCATCGTAAACGAATGATTTCGATCGAATGTAAAAGCTCGAAGCGATACGATATCCGCCATGTTCTCATTTACACGTGGCTCATTTAAATATGTTAATGACGGTTCAGTGACCTCGTGGTGAACGCAACGCGGTAGTAGTTTTACCGATGTTCTAGCAAGATCTTTATGCTTTGATTTTGACGGGGAAAACGGCATGATTTTTTTTTAATCAAAAAATTAGTTGTTTTCAAAATACATAGAATAATTTAACGTTGTTCGCAGTAATAACAGCTTCGAAACGAAGCTTACCCCATTCGGGCTATTCACAATATGTGTCGATGACTACTATGGTACAATATAAATTAGACTCTTTTAGACGCCAGGAGTGAATGAAGTATCTAAAATATTTTAAAAAAAACTATAAAAAAATGCCGAAAAAACGCCGGGCGATTTCATGGTCGTTGCAGACTACTCGATCGACCGTCCATACACGTGTTGTCACTGCACATCGGCCATGTTGAATCGCACGAGATCGACAAAATCTTCATTACAAATAACAGTTTAATGCTCACAACATAAAAATACGAATATAATCATAGGCAACCTACTATTATATAATGAATAAGTTGATCGACACAGGGACACCCCCCCCCCCCGAGTTGTGGATATTTCGGAAATCGCGACACAAGCAAAAGACCGGATAACGATTTTACTTGAAACTATGTCCCCATGAATTAATCGTCCGTGTACAATAATTTGACAGGGTATACAATTTACAAACTAGTTTCGTAGATTGGAGACAATTGTTTTTTTTTTTTGGCTTTTCACAAGAATATAAAGCTGGCAATCATAATATTCACGTCCGTACGTACGTCACGGAATGTACACCATTGGCACCCCAAAATACATTCAATTTTGTAGAAACTGGAGAACTTACCTTTGCAAACACGTCTCTTATGCCGCCTTCTTGAAGTTCTTGAAATCAAATAAGGTTACTAGTTCTTCTAGTAACTAGTGAATAAGACCACTGAGCCGAACAGAATACATGTATAAACAGTACTATAATAAATTGCACGCAATGAAGAAATCATGTGATGTAGCGTTACTCACAGATCTAATCTACTGTAAAATATTTTATTTCAGCTGGAATTATCATTCGCTGAAAATACTTTTTCTGGCTGTTTTTTGTATTGAATTTATTTTCATTGATTTTTGACAAGTTTGACTGTAAAATATAGGAAAAAGGGAATATTCGCTGGATTTTATTTTAACTGAAACATTCCTTCAGCGAAAATAGCAAAAAAATGTTGCAAGCAAAAATAAAGTAATTTACAGTAATTAATTTATTCTGAGCATGCGCAGACGTTCTGTCAATGTTGCCGGGAGAGGTAATTTTTGATAAAAATCGTGAAAAAGACCCACTTGGGATTTTCAGATCTGGAAAAAAAATTACGTGCATACTCGGAATACACTTGTTCATCAACCTGCCAAGTTTCACTGATACCTGCTGTAGAATTTCTGAGAAAATGTTGGAGACGGAAAATGGACAAAACCTGAATTATAACTAAAAATCCAGACCTTCAAGTAACTGAGAGAGAGAGAGACAGA